CGGCAAAGCAGGTCAGTAGATTGCGGTAACTACCACATGCAGTAGACATAATGCGGACAACGGGCCACTGCGTCCTTCAAACTACGGAACTTACAGGGAATACAGATTATAAATATTTTTTGTTAAATATTGAGGCAGAATGCGTTGTCGTCGTCGCCGTTTAGGTACATTTTTTATTGGCTCTGTTTTTTTAAGGTTATATTTTTGGCGGGAATTATTTGTGATTTGTGATTAAAGTTTTGACGTTAGTGTGCTAATTAAGCTGTTCTTTTTCAGTAGACATTTTTAAACAAAAATGAAAACGATTTTGTTTAAGATTTCCGACTTAATAACACTATCATTATTGATCGGGAATGTTTGGAACATTATACCATGATTACTCCGGGTCTCACTGGTACGAGATTTTGTGTCAGACTCTTACTGGCTAAAAATCACGCCGTTCCTTCTCCTGCTCCGAACCCAGGCGACGGTAGTTATTAGTATTTTACCGAACTAAAAAGTAAAGATTGATTTGTTTGCATCGACTTTTAGCCTTCCAGGCCTTTTCACCATCGCACTACTTAGATAAACAACAAAACGTTACTATATCGTGGACGTTTCGCCTTTTTGCACGAAGCTTTTCGCATCGAGTTTATGCGAACCGCTAAGAAGTTGAATTCTTTACCAGAGTAAGTTTATGTAAGTGTGGGAGAGCCAAGCTTCGTCACGAATAAGTCGGCTAGACAGGAGTGATACCACGGCCTCACAGAAAACCGACGTAAAAATGCCACAGTGTGAGTGAGGTTACCGGAGGCCCAAGCCGGGGGAGGGGAGGGTTCCAATCCTTATATCTCCAAATCCCTAATCCCCAAGTGTGCCGTAAGAGTGAGGTTATGAGAGCCTTTGGGATACCTCCCCCCTCCCTCCCTGCTTACCATCAGGTAATAAGTCTGCTCGTTTGTCACCCTAACACAAAAAAGGACCAACAGTTTAAAAACTAGAATGATGATTGCTTAGTCTGAAGCTGATGGGGGCGCGGCAGGATTTAGGGTTCAGCGGGCAATTTTTTTACGATTGGTCAGCAATCGATCTGACGAATAGCTGATGGTAAGCAATTAGCGCCGCCCATGGACACTAGCAACGACAAAGGAGTTACGGATGCGTTGCCGATCTTTTGGGGATTATGATTTGGAGATTGGGCCTCCGGTTACCTCACTCACACGGAGATACAACGCTGTGGTAGTTTCACGCCGGTATTCTGTGAGGCCGTGGTCACTCCGGTCGAGCCGACCTATTCGTGCCGAAGCATTTCAAACTTTGATTTGGTAATCCGGCTATTTAAACGGGAAAGAGTTGAATAATTAATAAATTCGTAAGTTAATCTTTCTACGTACATAATTAATTTTAAACCAATTGCGTCATTATAATGTTTCCTTGTTTTAAAACCCAATTAAAACTTTGCCCCACTGTAGGATTTGTAGGACTTGTTTGTATACCTATCCTACTAACATTATAAATACGAAAGTTTTTCAGTACCTACTCACAAACGACTGAATATATTTTAACTAGCTTTTGCCCGCGACTTCGTTCGCGTGGAATTCAGGTTCATCCCGTCTAGTCTAGTAATAAGTAAGAAATACGGTAATTAAGCACTGCAGAGCCCTAATCATAGGTCTATAGGTAGCTACTGCAGAATGCTCCTATAAACTACATTTAACGATCTTTTTCCTTCAGCATAAACATGCAGATTCTTCGCTTTGGAAACGTAAGCGCAAAAAATTTGTCTTTTTACGACCTCACATTAGAAACTTCAAAAAATGTAGCCTATGCGTTATTCTGATGTATAAGCTATATTGTGGTAAAGTTTCATTCAAATCCATTCAGTAGTTTTTACGTGAAAGAGTAACAAACATCCATACATCCATACTTAGGTACAAACTTTCGCCTTTATAATAGTAGTAGGATGAAATTTGGCACAGAGACAGATTACTGAGGAATTAGACACAGGCTACTTCTTCTTCAGGTAACGTGGGGGAATCTGATGTAAAATCGTCGGTTCGGTACTAAAATTTTGCTAAAGTAATTAAGAAAAGCTGGCCTCACAGAAAACCAGCATGATTGAGCTTCCCTACATTCTGGAGGCCCAATACTGCCCCTATCCCTCGTTAATCTCTCAATTCTCAAATATCTAACTTAATCGTCTTGAAATTTTCAATGGACGGCGCTAATTGCTTACCATCAGGTCATCCATCAGCTCGTTAGCTCTATCTACACTAATATTATAAATAGGCAAGTATTTGTAAGTTTGAATGTAGGGGTTATCTTTGGAACCGCTGGTCAGATTTCTTCACTGATACATAGCGACAATGTTCCTGAGTGCTACCTATCTTTCTTATCTTATATATAAAAATGGATCGCAAAATGTGTTGGTAAGCGCATAACTCAATACCGCCTGGACCAATTTTGCTAATTCTTTTTTTGTTGTGTTTGTTACGGCCAGGAGAAGGTTCTCATGAAAGAAAATTTTAGAAAAGTAGAAAGGAGAGTTGATTAATAGGGACCCTTTCATCGTAAGCGAGATGATGAGACCCGTGCGAAGCAGGGGGCGGGCCGCTAGTAGGCTATAAATTATAATTGGTTCGTATTTTAGGCAAGCGAACGCTTTAAACGCTGCAGTTTTTTAAATCCTGGGATACATTATTTTTATATGCGTCGAAGCCGCGGGCGAAAGCTGGTATAAAACGTTTGTAAATACATGTTAAACCGCTCTATGATCGATCACCGTGGAGTAGAATATACTTGTATAGCTTTATCTATAACTTTTTTAAATTGACAGCAGACAGACAGCGCTTTCTAATTAATCTGGTCAAAATTAAGAAATAAACTAGAGGAAAATCATAAATATACAGACCTAAATATAGTGTTTTAAATAACTTTAGATGGCAAGTAACTGGTACAATAACAACGTAATCCTTTAAAGTTATCTCTGAATCCAGCCGCAGTTACGGGTTTTAGGCTGAATTCATAATGTATAATTAAAATTTTGCAAGCTAACTCGCTATTTAGCTTAACAACGCGTAAGGTAATGGGCGTTCAAACATCTATACATATATAGGGCGCATAATAGATCTGAAATTCTGAACTGAGTCACTGTGTCAATGTAAACAGCAAAATAATGAAATAATGTTTGTACCTAACCGAATACAGTATAATGTACTGTCATGTCCATGTGACAAAACAATGGCGATAGTATTATGTGGAAATTCCAATAGATGTCGACAGTTATCCGTTTCGGAAAACTCACAAAAGATGGCGTTATTTTTAATATGTAAAATTATTATGAAGTAATTTTACGCTAAACATTTTTTTAATAATATTTTCTAATACCAACAACGTTGTTATGTACAAACATCGAAATAATTGATATTATTATAAATAAAATTATTAAGCGATAGTCTATGCCTTACCTTCTTATAAATTTGTACAATAAAATGTCAATTGTCAAACGAAACCTCAAATTTTATCAAAACAAAGTGGTCAAGTAATGTTTACGTTCTTTTATCAATAGATAAAGGTCGAAATGGCTGAACTTAAAACTTTATCAACTATAAAGTGCAAGCAGCAGGTAGTCCGCGCCGTCAGGTTCAACGTAGACGGCACATACTGCCTCACATGTGGGGCAGACAAGAAAATAAAGCTTTGGAATCCGCATCGACAAATACTGTTAAAAACCTATGGAGGACACGGAAACGAGGTGTTAGATGCTGCTGGATCTTGTGATAGTAGTCAAATAATATCATGTAGTACAGATAAATCGGTTATATTATGGGATGTGACTACTGGACAGCCTTTACGGCGATACCGTGGGCATGCAGGCTCTGTAACTTGCATAAAATACAATGAAGAATCGACAATGGCGGTCTCAGGATCAATAGACAATACAGTATGTTTTTGGGATGTGATCAGCCGTAGACAAGAACCAGTTCAAGTTTTAAAAGATGCAAAGGACACTATCACATCTATACAGGTTACAGATCATGAAGTTTTGACTACATCAGTAGATAGCCATGTACGACTTTATGATATTCGTGTTGGAAAGATGATTTCTGACTACATTGGTCATATTATCACTTACGGGAACCTGACAAGAGATGGCCAATGTTATATACTGAGTTGTGCAGATAATACAATAAAATTATTCGATAAGGAGTCCGGAGAATTATTAAATACCTTTGTAGGACATGAATGCAAAGATTATTTGCTAGAAAATGCTGTTAATGAGAAAGATAGTCATATTATATGTGGCTCTGCTACTGGTGAAGTTTTTTATTATGATCTTATTAGTAGCAAATGCACTCAAAAGTTGAGGCATAGCGAAAATAGGCCCGTTGTGTCCTTAAACCATCATCCAACAGATAACTTTTTAATAACTGCTTGTGAGGATGAAATCAAGTTGTGGGGAATACAGACAATGGAAGAATAAAGAAATTAAAATATATTATTTAATTGTTTTCCTTAATTCTATATAATGTACCTATTATGATAACAATTCATGCATGAGTCACAACTAAACTAACAATATATGATTATTTCATTACTTAAAACAGTATTGTACGTAATTTGCCATGTAATATTGGGTTTATTGTACCCCTACATTATATTGTAGACTTTGATTGTAACAGTTCCAACACAATATCTGCATTAAAATAATAATTCTCTTTAACTGTTACTTTGCAACAGGATATTAAGTAAATAACAGGTACTAAGAACAGATCACATTCTACTCTTATGTATTTCTATTAATTCCGAAAGTAAAACACAAAAATATTTTTTATTTCATAATAGACTTTAATTTATAGTTTTAAACTGTGATTTACCTGCAAGAACAATTTTATTGATATCTTTCGTCAGTGTAATACCTGTTACTTGTACCTGTGAGTTGTGACGAAAAATACCTAAGCCCCACGCCTAGTGATTTTGTAGTACGTCACTGTCACTGTGTGAATTAAATGTCATATGAACGACAACATTGGATTTGTATTGTGAATTTAAATACAAAAAGTCTGAAAAACGCTCTTAAATATATTGTTTTGGACAGTCTGCGATACAGTAGTACAGATACATCATGCCTGGTTGCTCAATATTGGGGTGTCGTGCCTACAAAAGGACACATCTTCCTAATCTAACCATGCACAGGTTAGTTGCCGTATTTTAAGGAATATTATATCATGCTATTTATTTTTTGTATATTACACCTGGTTTTATAGTGTCTCTCATCTGTACATGCTAATTATTTCTTATATCTATATTCAAACAGCTATTTGCGTAGTTAATTGAAAAAATGAGTTGTTTACATCAGAATTTGACTGCGATTTGAGATTGACATTTGACAGTGTGAAATAGTGATGTAGCTGATTTTGATTTATCATAGATAAGAAAATAACTAAAATTTAGGGCTTGTGCAATGTCGGGATAGTGACTTAAACCAGAATAATTTGAATGTATATAGAACGTAATTTTAATGGACTTCTAGTTTGTACAAACTAATTTGAATCAGCCTGTTGTTTAATATGTACATAACAATTGTCTATCGGTTTAGTTAGTTAACTGAATACAACATTCTTGTCTTTTGAACTAACAATTGAATGTCAAAATATTTGTAATAAAGTGTTTACCTAAATCTATGTTAGCTAATAAAATAAATTTAAATAATGCATGATTGGATTTTACACGACCTATTTAATACAAAAAGACACCAAGATTGTTTACCTTTAGTTAACCACCATAATAGATAGACCACAGGATATTTTTTTTGCACAGGCTTCCCAAAAAGGACCGTCAGAAGTGGCTGGACATAATCGGGGTGGAAAATATAAATTTGCAATTTAAAGAGCCTCGTATCTGCTCCCTACACTTTGATGATAAATCGTTTAATAGAACCCTTGATGTAATAAGGCTACGTGACGAGGCATTACCATCTTCAGACCTAATAGTAAGTTCAAAATATTTTTTTTGTGTTTGGTATCAAAAACAATGACGAAAGAAAAAAGAGAGGAACATTAACGTCGTTACTTAAAAATATATCGTTGTCTCTTTTTAACTCATAAGAGTGTAATCGTGTATAAAAAAGGACAACAATAGTTTTATCTTTGCCTAAAATGACAACTCTGCGGCCGGTCGCCATGTTCAGACACAGCCAAACTAAACCAATAAAAAAGTGACTTGTTTGTTCCCATTTTAAAGAAAATGTATTATTTTGTACGAAATTTCGCTTATTTATAGTGTGGAAACTTGCACAATACTGCCTTTATTTTATCAAAGACGCAGAGTGTTAGGTTACCCAAAAAAAAAAAAAACATCCAAAGATAACGAAAAGTGTAAGTCACCGAATTCCCAAGAATATTATAAAGTACACTGGATGTTGCACCAAGAAAAAAGAACTGAGGACTAATAAAATGACCTTGAAACACGTCATTTATGTTTTGCATCTCTTTCATCAGGGTGACAACTATTTTTACTAGCTTTAGGATATTTTGTACATATTTATGATTGTTTAAATTCAACATTTCTATTTTAGTGTGGTTTTCGATCGTATTAGTTTTGGTTTAGTAATCTATACATACATATAATTGTAAATCTGTAGAGAAGTCAATTCTGTACATTAAATATATTTTCAAAATAACTATCAGGGGTTGGTAGTCGATAACTACAATGGCTAAAATGTTTGTCTGTCTGTCGTATGTATTCCTTATCCCATTCGTTGCTACCAACGCACCATTTGCGTTGATGGAGAAAACTACGTCATGCCACCAACATACCGTATGCGTTGAGGGTACCTTAGGATGTTTATTGGCATTACATAAAAATTATAAAAAATATTTGTCAACATTTCATGGCCAGAAACGTTTTTTAAATGTAGAAACTGTTGGTTTTTGCTTTGAACTATGTTCTTGTGCTGATAAGGAAACAACGGTTGGTGCCTCGAAGATCGATTTTGATTTTGGAATAACAGATGTTTTAATGAGTTTTTACCGTATGTTTGTGAATTGTCCAACGCCTGCGCTGCGCCGGCCCCGTGCCTTCGCTTTACGTCGCTTGTGTATGTTTTAGGTCTAAGGCGAGCACAAAGCGTGCGCGGATGCTGTGCGTGTGCAGCGCATGTTATCTTAATACACCCTTAAGAGTACTTACGTATACACACAACTGTTAATACTTAACAGTAATACTGCTATATCTAGATATCATTTCTTTAGATATTAAACTTGATACAAATGAAAAGATATTAAAATTGTCAGGTAAGCAACACAAATTAAAAAGATATACTACGTATGTAAACAATAAGAATTATAATGATAGGTATTCTTTCAAAAACACCCCTTGAAAACAAGTCAAGCTGATAAGTTCCCATTTAAGCTTAAAAATTACTTGCAGCTAAAAGCCAATACCTATTTGATTTTATAAGTCCTTACCAGTCCACGATATCAACCATCATCATCTTCCTGCCCTTGTCCCGTTTTATTTGGGGTCGGCGCAATGCGTTTTTTTCTTCCATTCTGTCCTGTCACTCGTCACGCTATCGCTAACTCCTCTGTCTTCCATATCACTTCTCACACGATATCAACCATTCAATAAATTTCCTTAAACAGTTTCAAGTCCTCGTTTTAAAGTCTAGTATCAAGTCCTTTTTATTTAAATAGGTAATAACAAATGTCTATACATATTGACAGAGGGCGAATGTAAGATCATGTGTGTTGACGATAGAATCCCGATCTCGTTTTTCAGCCACCATAGGCGCGGGCTAGCGGATGGTGAATAGTTGGTAGGTTGCCGTCAGACCGTACCGGGGATATTTAAAAAAAGTCAGTACAGTGCAAAATCATTTTTATTAATAAAAATCACAAGTTTATATCACACGTGTGAAAATAAAACAGTTTTATGCAATTTTTGCCTTTTAGTGCGAATCTCACCCAAAAGCCTTTGAGTATAAGTTTTCAGATAAGAATGAATTCTTATTTTAAAAAACTATTCGAAATATATTTTATTATTTCAGTTTCGAAACATATTTTATTATTTTTAAGTGTGGGAGAGCCATGCTTCGGCACGAATGGGTCGGCTCGACCGGAGTGATACCACGGCCTCGCAGAAAACCAGCGTGAAACAACCACACCGTTGTGTTTCGCCGTGTGAGTGAGGTTACCGGAGGCCCAATCCTTCCCCTCGCTCAATCCCTCCTCAATCCCTAAATCTTCAAATCCCAAATCCCTAAAAGGTCGGAAACGCACTCGTAACTCCTCCGGTGCGGTTGTCCATGGGCTGCGCTGATTGCTTACCATCAGGTAATCCGTCTGCTCGTTTGCCGACCGATTACATAAAAAAAATAAAAAGTTTCGTGTAAATCCATACAAGTATCAGTGATTGGATGTTTAGGCACAAATAATTCCTGCAACAATGGATAACATTTTTCCAGGACCGCTAACACTAATTTTGATTGCAAATTATTAGTTTTGCTGTGAAGCAGTATACCTTTGGATACCGAGTGCTTAAACAAACTATCTGAGTAGCGGACTACCTTGAACGCTGCACAAAGGTCGTAAACGCAGAATGTCTATTAATATTAACAAATAATCATGATCATTTTTTTTTTCATTTTCGGTAGTTAATAATTGATGACAAAAGTCACGAATTTTTTTTTGTAAAATTTTATGAACTATGTATGAGTTCATAAAATTTTACAAAAAAAACGAACAATGTTTACTAACGACTTCAAATCTTTTATTTTTTGTTCATTTCGCGCAACTTTTTGTTGTAATTTTTTTTCTTTTTTTCCAAACACTTTTCCCGCAGTGAATTTAATTTTACATTGAACATTAAAATCTTTTAAGCGGCGTCGTTTCGCTGGCGGTTCATTTTCATTAACTACCTGTGGAACAAAGATTATAATCAGTAACAACTAAGATGATCAAAAGGTCTCAATGTCTATCATGAGCTTACTACATCGTGAAAAAACCAAAAAACACCTAACCTGGATGTTGAAGGTTTGGTTTGACTTCTATGCCATAAGTACAAGCTAATACTACACAATAAATTAAATACTTACAATATTTTCAGTGTGTGTGTTGTGCGTTGGTATTGTTTCATTTGATGAAGCCGAGCACTTGAATGGCGTTGTACTTTCCTGTAATTTGAAATATTATTGTTAACATGATTGCTAGGTATGTAAGCAGCAAATTTTGAAAAGGATAAAAAGATACCTTAATACTAGACAATAAGTTAAATACTTACAATATTTTCATTTTGTATGATGTGTATGTCCTTTTCGCAATAGCTGTGTTCTTTTCCTGACATTGTGGAACAAGTATCAGTTTCTGTCGGTATCATTGCATTAGGTGAAACCAAGCATTTGAATGGCGTTTTACATGCCTGTAATTTGAAATATTATTCTCAACATGGTTGTTGGATGGGTAAGCAGCACATTGTGAAATGTAAAAAATGCTTACCATAACGTTATTACCACAGGAGCATAATTGTACAGAATCAACCAGAACAGCACTATTTAAAAGCCTTTTTGGTCTTAATGGATCATAATTCTCCGGCTTAAAGTGTAAGCTACAAATCTTTGCTGATTCATAAAACTTCCCTTTTAATAGCAGACAACCATTTCTGCCTTTTTTCCGAGTCCTTGGGAAAACTGAAACATAAAATTAATTGTATATTAACCGAGTTGACTGATTTAATTTACTGTAATTAGACCAAAATAGCAGGACAGCTCTAAACTTAGTTTTGACACTCTTTTAATTATTAAAATTTGAAGACCTTTCTGTTTTACCCTCAGATATAATACGTTAGTCTCATTATAAGAGCAACGAGGCCTACATAAAATTCAACCATTCCACAAATCAAAAAGTATCTACCTAACTTAAAAAATATGGTCACTCTTTAGCTCTTTGTTTACAAACACATAATTTTGACGTCTAAGACTAAACGTACCTGTTTTTTAATAATTAAATGCGATTTACGCATTTAAATTTCTAAACGATGACAAAGATTACTAGAAAAATATTTGTGACACCGTTTCGAACGTAAATATTTACAGATTTTTTAAATATTGGCATAAAATACGTAACGATAATGTATAACTTAAAATATGGTATTTCTGGACTTACCTGTGAAAGATGACATTTGATGTTGGGTTCCATACACTTGTACAATCTTTGACTACGCAATACATAATAAGGCACTTTAAATTAATTCACAAAACCTCGAAATACTTCAGTCTAACACTTCGAGTAGTCGAAAAGTAATTGACAGAGTACTCAGAGTAGCCATTTTGGATAATACTACCCCAACAGTGTTACAAGTTTTGAACTCCACGTTAAAAGTGGGTAAACTTAAAAATAATTTTAATAAAAAAACAACTTTAAAATAGCCTGAATTAACTATGAATAACTTTGAAATTGTTTAAATTTTTAAGGCTGATATTTGGATTTCGAAATAAACATAAAATATGTGTGCCTCTCTTTTGGTAATATATTTATGATCAGTTACCAAGGTAAAAAGTCATTTTATTATGGCAACATTTTATTCAAGTGTGAGCGAGATAAAAAACATACGAAAGGTGAATAAACTCGGATTCAATAATTTCTTCTAGGGGCAACATCCAGTGTTCTATATAATATTCTTGCCGAATTCCTTAAAAATATCTTAGTTTGTCCATTATTTTGAATGATTTTGTTATTTTTGCAGAAGTATATGAAGATTCACTTGCTTTTCTACATTCATCTACTGTTGTACTATAAATATTTAGTGATTTTATAACTTATTAATTCGCCGTAGTAAATAAACTTGCGGTTGGACGTTTTCAATAATATCCTAATATCGATAACATATCGATTATCGATATTTGAACTTAAATAGTTTTTTATAATTTTAGATCACCATAATGTAAAGAAAGCAAAGAAAAGTGGCTGGATATACGCGGGGTCGAAAATTTAAACACAACTAATAAAAAAATAGAAACATTTTTATTTGTTCCCTGCATTTCGAAAAATGTTTTAACCGAACCACAGTGTTTTATCTTGAAAAAAAAAACTTTAAAATCTTTGGAACTATTGGAGTTGAATGGATGAAATAAAATACAAAATATGTGTCTTAAAATGATGCATTTCATGAGATGTAAAGCATATCCCTCATATTATTATTATTTTTAATAATTTCCATTTTTAGAGAGTTAAAAAATGACCAACTTTAGCATTTTGAACATGACACAAACCACAGACTTTTTCTTATTAAATCCATAGTCCAAACATACATGGATCTAAGGTATACTATGGACAGAAGAAAACAGAAAAAAAATCGATACGAAATTATTTTAACAATATCAAAAGTATTATTTCGCAATGAGTAATGGCATGGATTACTATAACACATATAGACATTGTAGAATAACAACAATGAGAATAAACATGTTACTAAATTTCACAATTTACATCTCATTTTATTTTGTACAATTAAATTATAAATTTATTATTGTGATCTTTGAATATAGTAAAAAGTAAAATAATAATTATTGAGTACCTCTTTTTTGATAATTTTAGTCGACGCACGTACATACTTGATGGCCGAACGGATAACCGGTTAGTGCACTGACTTAAAAGCTGAAGGGTTTTTGGGTTCGATTCTCAGCCGGGGCAGATATTTGCTTAAACACAGATATTTGCTGTCGGGTCTTACCCCGCAAGGGATTACAATAGTACAGTGGGGGCCTAGGTTAATGTGAACTCTCATTAAAATTTAACTCTTACGAAGCACCAAATAAGAAATGTCCAAAGTCAAAAAAAATTTCGTAAATTTCGAATACCATCTATCGATATGATAATGTGCGCAGCACTACGGCAAGCCGCCATCTTTGTGCCCGGCTGAGTTTCGGTCAAAGATTTTTTTATAGACAACAAGATTGTGTACTATGAAATTTTTGTCAACGTGAAATGAATTTTACGTCTATTTCAATAAAGTTCTTTATCTTTAACCATCTCGTTAAACGGAAAAACGGGCTGAGCGAAATGGCCGTATTGTGGAATGCGTCCTTGTCTAGTGGGTTGCAAGCACAAAATATTTTTTGGTGAAGTAGAATTTAATATTCTCTTATTCTTGCTTCAGTGATTATCTAAAGATACAATCATCGAATGTAATTTGAAAGATTATTTTTACACATATTTTGTTCAACTTTGTGTAGTTTTAAACCTAGCGACATACTGGTGTTTGCTTGAATTTCGGCACTAAGGTAGTAATTTGACGAGTGATGTTGGGCGTATACATTCAACCAATATGGCGATTATTCTGTTGACAAACTGCTGTCACGCTCTAACTATTATTATTTTTGTGTAATTTCGGTGGTGTGTGTGATATTTTGCTAAAAATGGTTCTCACTTGTTGCGTCAAAGGTTGCAAAAGTGAATCGTACAAAGGATGCAACGTATCTTTCCATAGGTATGTGTTCTGGTGTTGTTGTTTATGTTATAAGTAGGGTGTCCATGAAAAATATTTTGGTTTCTTTTTTCTTCACTCTAACTTTTAATTATTCTTAACAATCAAATATAATTGGCACGCTAAGAGAAATATTACAAAGAGCAGTACTTTAAAAATTTCACCTATTACTGGTTTAATATGACTATACAACCACTGTTTTAGATTTCCTAAAAATGAGGAGATGAATAAAAAATGGCTCGACGCTATACCGGGAAATGTAACTCAATATTCAGCAGTCTGCGGTTTGCATTTCAAAGCTGAAGATTTCGAAACTAATCCTGTTGCAACGAGAAAGATCTTAAAAGCGAATGCTATACCATCCATGAATCCTGTGGTAAGTAGTATTCTGAAAATAAAAAAGTTAAAGTACTGAGTTCTATTACAATCAGTCGACCATTGTGCGAAGACCCCGAAACGTCACCAGAGACACCGTCTAAGTAGATGAAATTGAAACAAAGTGCGTCCACACAAACGACAAACAACGGTCAACAACCTAGACCACTTGACTTAACGTTTTCTCGAAACTGAAGTATAAACTTAACCTTTTTCTTAACTGCCCTTTCGGTTCGCTTATGAGGCGGTTTTGAGCTTGAGCTTGAGCTTGAGCTTTGAGCTGTGTGAGTGTTTTTGACTAATTAATGTAGTCATATGTATTTTATGTGAAAGGAGTAATAACTGTTTATTGTATTAATTATATATTACAAAATAAAACTGGACTAATTTATATTTAAGATGGGAGCTTGTTTCATAACGATTCCAATGATATAAGTTTTACATCAGACCCCATAAAAAACATTTGAAATATTGTGATTTTAACTACACGATATTGCGTAGACTACCCAGAAAGTGTCGACACAGTTGCGTCGATTCGCGCAAAATGACCGTCACAGTTTAAGGGTATACACACACACTCACGCCTGTTTCGCCTGTTATCTTACATGCATGAATTTATTTTTCCTTTCAGTAATTAAAGTTATTTAATAATAGTTTATTAAATTATTGTTTGTTAGCCTTTGTCCGCGGAGGACGAAATCATGTAGTCACTCTAGTAGAAAAGGACGCAAACCAATAATGCTCTTTCTCGCTGGGCTCGTTATTTGGCTAAAGTTCACAATCTTGTCTATAATATAATTTGGTTTAGGTTATCAAGTTTTTTAGGAGGTATGTCAAGTCCTTTCTTTTTTGTTTCGTCATTGATCAAAAACCATGAAAGTAGATATAACAAAGAGAAGAATGATCAATTTTGTAAAGAGATACATTTTGGTATACTCTATGTCGGCGACGTTATGTTGTTTTACTATAGCCATCCCTTTTTAAACTCCTAACTCTTACTGAGTTAGACAAAGATAACATTATTTTACTTCTTCAACGCTGATGCTGATTTAACAATAAAACGTCAAACTGCACCTATCGCGTTCCGTTCCACTGACATTTCAATTGTAGCATAACACTTCACATTTTATTTTAGGAATCAAATTGATACATGGCTTCATAGAGTTAAAATAATATTGTAAAATCTTACCGTTTCATCGCAAAGCCAAATGTATTTTCTCACATTTCCTCTGAATCCTTAATGCACATGTAACTACTTAATTTTTTACTCCCATATTTTTCTAATAATGCTTAAAAACAAGCCGAAGAAACGAATTGTAGTTGGAACGACGCGTTCTATTTAGTTTTTTATCCGCTTGCCTGGCGCTTCTAAATCTAATCTGAAATTTCTCAATTAACGTTTAAAACACTCTAAAAACTTATTTTCAGCCCAAAGCGGAGTTAAGTATGGGGGCTAAAACATCTGAACAGGTAAACAAATCACGTTCTACGGTAAAATGTGACGTTTGCGGACGAAGATTCATGAACCTCCAAGCGTTGATTTCGCATAAGAAATTTTTACATACAAGACCTGATACAGCGAGACGGGCAGCGTTGAAAAAGCAAGAAAATGCTAGACTAACTAAGAAGGTTATTCCCATAAACATGTTGAAAAGAGTGAATCCGCCAACGCCGGCTAAACAAGCGGCAAAATCTCCCGTCGATCAGACTCGGAATTTAGCGGGAAAAGATACTGATCAGCCTAAAAAGCCTCATTTCGAGTGTCCTGTATGTTTCAAAAAGTTTCCTGTTTATTTTACTGCGTTCAGACATATTCAGAAGAATGCGTCTTGCTGTATCGACGAGAAAGGAGCTAAAGTGTGAGTATTGTTGTCGTTTCTTTTAAAGTGGTTTCCAATAGGCATCTCATTATATCTTTAATTGACGAACCCCTAGAAAACTTTTTGTTCTTCTATTATTTCTTGAATTATTACATGTGAAAGGTAATATATCTTAGTGTGTTTTCCTGGCCCAAATAATATCTATAGTGGAATATTTATGGTCTTTTGATAATGTTATTTTGTCCAGTAATGTATTAGTAAGGAGGCCATATACATAAGGTTTTAATGTAACATGCATGTATGCATTTTTATTGCTAACTCGCAAACATTAATTAATATTGTTACACTAAATCATAATGTATTTATTAAAGCTGTTTTACATACAACCAGCATGTTTAAAAAAAGAAAATTAGCCTAGGTACTATATTACTTTTAAAGTCACAAGAATGCATGTGAAATAAAATGACATATACATTATAGATTAGATGGAATATGAATATATAATAAAATTATGTAAATAATAAATATAGAATATAGACAGTGTAACATCTTTTACACTGTCTATATGTTTATTACATTAACTAGCAGTTGCCCACGGCTTGCTGTGGTGAGAAGAGGTATGAATTTGATGATACAAATTTGTTCAAAAACTGATATATGTGTGTCCCTCTTTTACACAGTTATGCAACCAGTTGCAATTACCGGATTTCCTTTAGCTTTCATAAGAACCTTCTAAAATAAATAACAAATTCAAAAAAATGTACATTTTGCAATAATTTTTATATAATAATATTTAATCTATACATCTATACTTAATATTATAAAGAGGTAAAATTTGTAAGTTTGTAAGGTGTAATCTTTGGAACCGCTGGTCAGATTGGCAAAATTCTTTCAGTGATAGATAGCTACAATGTTCCTGAGTGCTATAGGCTATAAAACATCACGCTACGATCAAGTGGAGCTGAGCAGCGGGTGAAACTGCGCGAGAGTAGCTAGTTTAAGAAAAAGTGCTAACATATAATTTATATCTTTTTCAGGTCACCTAACTCAACTAGTCTAGTTAAACCAATACGCATAGAAATCTGCTCAACCTGCAAAGATGAGACACGGTCCACAGAACCACACGACTGTCCAAAGTCACCAAGTAGTATGGATCAATACGAATGCTTGGGATGTAAACAGGTGTTCAATGGATTACTGTTGTACCAGCATCACGTAAAGGGATTGCATTCAGATGGAGCACAGAATTATTTCTTTCCTGGTCATCAAGGTATGTTTACGTATGTATATATAAATAAAAATAATAATGTTGTCGTGGCCCAGAGGTTAAGGAGCCCACTTCTCATGCATGAGGGTGTGGGTTTTGAAACCTTGCAAGTACCAATATTTTATAGAGAGAGAGAGCTATATGTACTTTCTATAATTATTAAGACACCACTGACATACGGTGAAGGTAAACATCGTGAGGAAACCTGGACTTATAATTTGTAATTATAACTAGTAGAGCTTTTCTCATTTACACATGTGAGTAACCCGCGATTTTTAGTTAATTTAGTATGTCTCAAGATAGTTATTTTAATTATAAGTTTTAAATCGCCAACCCGCATTGAGCAAGCGTGGTGATTAATGCTCTAACCTTCTCCGTGTGAGAAGAGGCCTTTGCTCAGCAGTGGGCACTTATTGGCTGATGCCCAATTAAAAATCTGATTTTCTCTTGGCCTTGTCATCATCTTGCATGTACAGCTACACCAATTGTGATCATTCTCTTTTTTATTCATCAAACCCAAGCGAAAGCCGGCGTTCGCGCACCTATTGTGTCTTAAATTACCACAGTCGAACGGTTAAAGTAGAATTCTTTCAAATGAAAAATGCCAAGGTTATTGAATGTCCCTGTAAAACAGGGCAGGCTGCTAGTAATATTTTAAAATGTTAAAGTAACTGTCTGTCTGTCTTTTCTTCACGCCTAAACTACTGAACCGATTTCTGTACAATTTGGTACAGAGATAGTTTGGAACTCGAGTAAAACATAGGATAGTTTTTATACCAAAACTTAAAGGTTACTTAAAAATAAAGTTGACATTTATTTTAATATTTTATAATGTTACTTATCCATGAATAACTGAAACTGTGCTGCTGATCCCAGTTGAATACCATTTCTATACATATTTTTGAAGATTATTGTGACTTTTTTTATATTTCAAATTAAAAGATGTAGTCCTAGTCTTGGATCGAGTTTGAATAAATGTGTTAAAGCACTTTTCAACATTTTTAATGTCTTAAATTGTAATTTTCTATTGTTAAATCAATATTATGTTACCATCTTGTGCAATTCAGATCTTAAACAAGGTCCTCCTCTCCTTATTATTATTTTATTTAAAAAATAAAGCTCTGATTTTAACATTACAGAATTCACATCATGGAAGAAGAGTCTACAAGAACAATCGAAAGTCGAATACACGCGGCTTAACCGACAGAAAACAAAAGAAGTGTACCATTGTTCGCACCAACCAGCCGGAGTGACAGACAACACACAACTATGTCCTTCAATGATCATCGCCCGAGCATACAGCAAAGGAGTACATGTATCCTACCTAACAGAACATCAAGGGCATACCGTAGACAGCTCACCAATAAAAAAATACTCTGAATACGCAATATCGTTATACCTAAGAGATCTTGAAGATTTGAAAGAATCAACAGAAGATTCTGACCTTTATTCTCAGTTTAAAAATATTATCATGTCCGTAGCACATGGGGCGGCCAAAGCAGACATGTCCACTTTAAAAGAACTAATAGAAAAAGCTCTAGAAATGACTGCTCTATTAAAAAACTTAAATAAAAACGATCATAACGTTTCTACGGTCAAGAAAAAGTTGTCAGATGCCCAAATTTCAAAGACTTTAGATAGTTTGCAAACGAAAACAGGGAAACGCAAGCAGAGTGTTGAAGTAAAAGAGACTAAGAGAGATGTAGCTAAAAGAATCAAAAGGAACTCTGTAGCTATTGAAGATACAGTTGAAAATAATATAGCAACAAAATCTAAAGCTACTCCGATAGCTAAATCAGTAACATTTAGAAGTGAAACGGTGAGCGACTCAGAATTATCTCAGGATGGAGCAGAAGATACATTGGAAACAATGACAGAATCAATCAAAGAGGTACATAAAACTATAAAGAAAACAGACAATGCGTTAGAAACATCCACTGTTACAAAAGTTAAAGATGACAGTAAAAAAAATAAGCTTCAATCCCCATCTTTCAATGATACATACATGAACTTTGTTGACCAGAACTTTAAATGTAAACTAGGATCTAGTACACCTAAAGTGAGACCTCCGATAAAGAAAAAAGAAATTATGAAGACCAAAATTGGACAATTTAAGGTCAAAAGTCTGTCTCCGAAAGAACCTGGATCACCCAAATCGCCGAAACAAACGAAAACAATTGAAGTAAAGGAAATAACAACACCTAAGAATTGGACGACAAAAGATATAAAATATGAAGTTAAAGAACAGGAAAATGATTATAATATACTTATATTGAAGATTTGAATTGGCTCCGAGGACATAGCTTAGACGGACGATGTTGTAAAAGTCGTGAGTATACTTTCAAAATGGAGGATTAAGCTGCCTTTTTTTTTGTGTGTGAAAATCAAATCATCAAATGACTTTTTTCCCCCACGGTTAGGCGAGAGAGTGTCAGACTCTTACTGACTAAACTCTCCTGCGTTAGGTCGAGGCTGCTGTACTTTATAAGCAGTCCTGGTAGAACATTATCCCTGTCTCTGGCGGACTAAGGAGGCCTATGCTCACGCAATAGATTTCTTCTAGCTAATGATGATGATGAAATAGAATCTGCCTACTCAAAGAGTACTTTGGATGCAAGTCACTCTCAACCGGTCCATCTAAAAGTCATATGGGAAGGGTCTTTGTGAGGTTTTGGACATCTTGCTTGTGATATGATGGTGTCAAAAATGTATTCCTAATACCTAAATATGGTCCTCTCAAGCCCTGCTTTCTCCAAGGATAAAATAGTGCATAGCTACACCGTTTTTTAAGTCTCTATAAATGAAATTTGAAAATCAACAAGTCTTCCATAATCATATTTTATTGGTCATTGAAGGTCTCAGATTTTCAGTTATTAAATACTTAATTTATATTTAAAAAAATATTATTAAAAAAACAAAATACCCGACTGCACACTAAAAAAAGAGTAAAACAAGCCCCACAATACAAATTTACTGAATATAATTTATAAATGTTGATGGAAAGCATCGCAGGCGGGGACCAACAGAGGCTTATTTATAGTCATTTCTGTTGTGCACCATTTAGCATAATTTTCGTTGGTGGCGGTCAAGGTGGTCCCCGCCTGCGATGCTTTCCATCAACATTTATAAATTATATTCAGTAAATTTGTATTGTGGGGCTTGTTTTACTCTTTTTTTAGTGTGCAGTCGGGTATTTTGTTTTTTTAATAATATTTTTTTTATTTATAACTTTTTAGCTGTTTTTATTTAACGAAAATGTTGTAGATGTAGAAAACTATGTACATTCGGGCTGTATACTCGAGCATATCCCCCTCCGCACCGCGCCGCGCGCCGCATGCCAGGCCACGCCCTATCTTTTTGCTTGCTAACGCATGAGTTGCTTTGCGTTGACGCAGAATTAACATGTTCCCGTGGGAATTTTGAGAAAAAACGTATCCTATATTAATTACTCCCGTGATTGAAATGAATCTAATGATACCGCATACATATTTTTTTAAAGGGAAATTTAGAAAAAATATTATTATGTCTTTATCCCGTGGGACTTTTAGGATAAAATGTATCCTATGACACTCCCGTAATCAAGACAAATCTAACGATACCTCATACATCAAAATCCATCAAGCCGTTTAGGCTACAGGAGGTCACAAAGGAACAGACATACATACATACTTACATACACTCGAAAAACATTACCCTCCTTCTTTGGCAGTCGGGTAAAAAAATCAAATTTGATATATCAGTGATAATATTATTGTACACTCTAATCTGTAAGTAAAAAGACTGTTTTTTCTATAACATTAAATAAGTAACAGTTTTAATCATTGTTGGTATTTGAAGTACAAAATTATTAATATTTTTAATCATGTGTCTGTATGTCGAAAAAGATTTTTTCTGTGTTTTGGTTGTCAAGCGATTTTAAAGGTTCTCTGTTATGGATTAAGGATGACATTTGTTTAATTTATATATTATTTTTCTTTCGTTTGTTTGAGTGATAAAGTCATTATAGAAATAGTTTTGCTCTCCTTTACATGGTCATAGTATCATATCTATGGTCTATCCATTAAGGTGGTTAACTAAAGGTAAACAGTCTTGGTATGTCTTTTAATATTAAAGAAGTCGTATAAAATACAAACTAATTAAATTCAGTTTATGAGCTAACATCGAATTAGGTTACTTATTTTTTCGTTTTATTTAAAAACGTTGCCCCACACTAGGATTTTCTCCTGTGTCCAGTTTTTGTTAAATTTATGCAGAGGATCCGATCTAGTTATTTTTTTAAATTAAGTTTTATAAACAGAAAAAGGATTATTAATGTATTATAATTATGATCAAGTTGCACATATTTACTTTTGTACATTACTGCAAGGATAAACCAATCTATAGCATATTCCTTAATAAAAAATTAAGGCTAAATCAAGCTTATATCAAGTGTCTCAATAAGTCCGGTGACTCAATAGACCTAGACACATTTTCATTTATTTAGAGTGCCGTCATACAGCTTAACGTTAATATAATAGGTTTTTACCTATGAAATTGCTGTTTTGCATGAAAAAAATTAAACAATTTTTTTGATTTGAAATGCGATGAAAATGTAACATCACAACAACAATCACAAACAACATAAAATGTAACACTAATCAATAAACAAATGACTACTTTTGGAAAAAGAATCCCATGTTTTTAAAACAAAATTAATTAGCCTTAGCCTAACAAAAACTATTTTGATTTGAAATGGCCAGCAGAACTGTAATTTCAAAGGTAAAGACCTATTATTTACATTAACTTAGTTTAGTTTGCATGACAATAAAATTTATTATCATTAAAACTAAACTTGTATATAAAAATTTCAGCTCAATCAGTTGAAGACATCTGTTTAAAAATTTAACTTTAACAGCCTTAAATAAACGCTTTAGGCCAGTTTTTTCAATGGTTAGATAAACGTTACCTGGGGAATAATTATGATGCTGTCGCGTCAGAATGTTTGTGTAAGACAGTGACAGCACAATTTTTTTTTTCTCAGATAACATTTATTTGCCTTTTAGTAGTAAAAATCAGCCTTTAAATAATAAAATGGATTATTTTTGTTAAACAGCCAGTGCTTATAAATTCTTCCAATATTAATAAATCAATGTGGATGTTATGGGGGAAGGCCTATATGAGAAAGCTTTTTGCTTGATATGTAGCTCATTAACACATTCAGTGCCCCCGACGCGTATGTGCGTGCGAGGAAACGCACATACGCGTCGGGGGCACTGAATGTGTTAATGATGATGGATATAACAGAAAAATAAGTACACAATGTATTCAACTTTTAGTTTATCATAATGCTAAAATATTAAAATTTTTATGTTGTAAAAGTTTTTGACTGTTTTTTTGTTACAATCTCGAAAACTCCTTGACTAAATTTGATGCAATTGGATTAAATGGACAGTTTGTATCCCAGTTAATTATAGCCCGTTTTAATTATTTTTCTCTAGATTTGCTTGCTGAATATACAATTTGACGAATTTTGTGCTTATAGAATCCTTTTTTGTGTGGAAATCGTGCAATGGGGAGGGGACAGAGGGAGTGTCAGACTCTTATTGACATAAATCTACCCCATTCCTTCTACTCCGGGTCGATTTTGAATAGAGTTTATGTCTATTTCTATTTCCAGTAAGCGATTCTACAGTTAGAACATGGGGATTTATATTATTTTCCCTTTAAAGTAAGATTAATACTGTAAAATATTACTTTAGGTAACCATGTAAATACATTTGTTATATAGTTAAGTTTTGCATTAAAAAAGTGTTGATATATAAACAAAATTGTTTTATTATAGTACTAAGAACCCATGCAAGTGTGGTAGAGTCATGCTTTCATGGCCTCACAGAAAAGTGACGTGACCGGCTGGCGCTTTGTGAGTGAGGTTACCGGACGCCATTTCCTTTCACCTCCCATTCATCCCTGAATCCTCAAATCCTAACCCGAAAAGGCAACGCACGTGTATTTTCTAGATGGGTGGCGGCCACAGCTTACCATCAGGTTGTTCGTTTGCTTATTGGCCACCCTTTCCCTGTAAATAAAACATACTTAACCATCCTCATATATCTAAACATTAAGTCTTGAGTTATGTGGATGTTCGAATTTACGTTTTATATTCTGTCTGTAGAAGCTTCTACAACCTACAGGTCCCTACAAAATAATTACACAAAATGCCTGTCATCGCATTAACGTAGGTGAAGCTAAACCTGGGCCGGACCGGAACACTGCTGCAACAAAATTTAGTTTAAGAAAATAGATTTTTTAACTGTGACTAAAGCCGTACCTATAGGTCTGGTCAAATACATGCAGGTATCCGCCCACTGGCTCGTCTAGACTTACTACTTACTAGTCTAGATTCTAAATGGCCTACTGGAAGTGATTCTGGATATACCGATATAGTTATATCATTACGTTCTTATTATGCCTGCTAATGTATACACCGAAGTCGTCTTTTTAAGTCCTTGTTGTTGTTGATTTGAAAATAGTCTGCTTTCGTTTTAGTGCTGTATTGCATGACTCAAAGAGAATATAAACACTACGTTTAACGCATGACTCACTACGACTTTCTTCATCACCAAAATATAATCAAATCCAGTACTTAATATACAATAAATTTTAATTTTATTTGTAATTATAACAGAAGGGCAAAAGCTATAAAAATGTTATAGAGCACGATTACATTTATTTAACTGCAGTTACTTAAACTGAACGTAGCCGACAGAGTGTAATCTGTCAGTGACGTCATTATTCGAAATTCAAATGAATGTCAAAATTGCTAACAGCAACGGTCGTTCGCATGTTGATATTTTCATTTCAAAGAAAAAAATATTGTAATGTATTTGAAATATTAATTAGTGAATGTAGTACGAAAAGTGTTGAGTTTAACATTAAATTAGATTAAAGAGAAGAATACACGAGCAAAATGCAGGGCGTCTCCAAGAACAGTAAGTTATTGTTTACTTTTCAAATTTGGGCTTGAATTTTATGCTTTTTAAAAGGTTTTATGACTGTGATTTACTTGAAATTGGCATTGCTTTTGAATAGAACCTAATAAGTATATTCGTTTAACCAGTTTGTATAGAAAAAAAGTAAGTTTATGTTAGACTTCGCCTTTTAAAAATAATATTTAATTGTTAAGGAATGCCCACTGTACTCCCGGGCGTAATTTTTGTCTATTATTCTACTAATATCAGTTGAACATGGCATGTATACCTAGACAAGTTATCAATATCATCATAAACATCAAGTTTCGTATATTATAATAGTATACATTGATTGTTTCCATGTAAATCTATGTCAAAAAATATTGTTAAATATAAGTTGAGACAGTTGATTTGACGAAGCGTGTTTCTAAACTTGTTGTCCAACATTACATCAAAATGCTTTATTTGTCGCATTTGGACTGAATTAAGATCCCTACCAGGTATAAGAATATTATTTTTAGTAAAATATGGCGTGAGTCTTAAAAATTGATGAAACCTTCCCTTAATAACTATTTGTTGTAATTGCAAAACTTGCATCTGAATTCATATTTCTTCAGAATAGTTAGGGAAAACAAAAAACAAAACTTAACTACAAGTTATAATGTACTAAAATAAAGATCTACTGTGTTTACCTAAAATAGGTAAGTAAAAAGAACAACTATATTCCTATAGCTATATAAAAACCAATGCCATTTTTCATTATGATTTTATAATTCAAGAACAGGCTCACCTATTGAAACCAAATATTTAATCTGGTTTATGTGGAGTTTGCATAAAATCACAAAAAACAATTCTTCATTTATTATGTAGCAGAGCTTGTACTAGGCTGACAGTATAAATAATCATAATTATCACACATTAATTAACAAAACTTTCACAAAGGTAGGCACAACATAGGCCAAGCATAGGCACCAAAAGAAGTGCTCCATATTTACAACTCTGGTTTTTGACTGCATGTTTCTTGCAATGGCTGGGCCACTGGCTGCCATGCAATGTTTCACGGTTATGATTCGTGCATTCAACAACTCTTTGTGCGATTCAAAAATTTTTCCTCCGGTTGGTCTAGGTATGAAGTGTATGTAAAATTGTATGTTTGTAAACGCACCCACAACACAGGAGACAATCCTAGTGTAGGCCAACTTTTTATAAAAAGGTGTCCATGTTCTCATTTGCTGTTATACAAATTCCATGAAAACTAAACAAAAAACACAAACCATTTTCAGAACTATCCGAACTCCAAACGATAATAACTCGGATGCCACTAGAAGTGTTCTGTGTGACCGCACTCCCTGAGTTTGGAGTGCGATGGAGGGAACTGTCGAAGGCTGTGCGCAATGCCCGGTTACCCATGCAGCCGGCCAGTGTAGCTAGAGTGCTGTGCAGGCATGTCTCCAAGGCATTAACGATTGATGAAATTGAAGATATTGTTGCACGGTTGCGTTTGAAATGTGAGTATTGTTTTGTTATAATGTCCTTCTTGTTAAAATCTAAAGTTTTTAAATGTGGAAGAGCTATGCTTCGGCACGAATGGGTCGGGTAGACCGGATTGATAACACGGCCTCACAGAAAACCGGCGTGAGATAGCAATTACGTTGTGTTTCGCCGTCTGAATGAGTTTATCGAGGCCAAATCCTCTACCCCCTTTCCCCTTCTCTTCTATAGCCTCTATCCCCAAATCTCCTATCCGTAAATCACTAACAACTACGAAGACGCCGACAATGCACTTGTTAATATTCCTGTGGTATTGCGAGTGTCTTGGATGGCGCCGATTGCTTACCGTCAGGTAATCTTTGCCTCCACTACATCGGAGGTGTTTGCCATAATTTTTAACGTACGTATCACTGGATCGATTCTCGCACGGAACAATTATTTTTGTGATCCATAATTTTATTGTTACTTATTCCGGTATGATGTGTAGGTATGTGAAATTGTATATTTGTTAACGCAACCACGACATAAGGTTGCGGGGTAAACGCAATGAGGCACCGGCTTCGGCTTAGAGCAGGAAAAGGAACGGGGGGTTTTTTAGTCAGTAAGAGTCTGACACTCCCTTCCACTCGACCCTGGGCGGGAGAAGCGATTTGATGATGTTCCCCTCACAAAAAAATAATTAAATCATTACACACGTGAAAGTCCTAATACGGTAATAAAATGTAAACTCTGGATTCCAGTGGTAGCAACTCAGCCTCGCACGTGGCATGTGATAAGACTGTCGGAGAAGACCACGGAAGAACCGGTCACCGTCACAATCAGAACAGCGCCCGCCAGGATCACACAGGCGTTGCGGAAGAGCAAGAAGACTATGAGACCAGAGGTAAGTGTGAAAGAGCCAAGCTTCGGCACGAATTGGTCGGCTCGATCATCGAGTGATACCACGGCCTCACAGAAAACCGACGTGAAACAACCACAGCGTTGTGTTTCGCCGTGTCAATGAGGTTACCGGAGGCCCAATCTTTCCCTTAACCTATTCCCTCCCCAATTCCTAAATCTCCAAATCCCTTATCCCCTTATCCCCAAAAGTTCGGCAATGCGCTCGAACGTCCTATGTACTTACAGAATGGATGTATGTCATAATTTACCTGCGGCGCGCCGCTGATCGAGTACTGCTATTTTCTCGTCCTCTCAAATAAAAAATCAGTGATCCCTAATCCTGAATTGCCTATAATGGACACCCACAGCGCACGAGGAATTACAAGTGCGTTGTCGGTATTTTGGGGGTAGAAAATGATTTAGGGATTATCAAAAATATAATGTTGTAATCAAACCTCCTTTTCCACAGGTACAGACAGTTCTCCTTGGCGATATGCTGTACCTCAGCATACAATTAGTATCAGAACACAAGTCGGGCTCCGCCCTCTACGTGGCGACGCCCCCCGGTGAGCCCGTCGCTTTGGTCTCCAGCGTGAACATGGTTGGATTGATAAAAGCTACAGTTGAAGGTTGGAACAAGTTTTAGTAGCCTTGATACCACGGCCTCACAGAATACCGGCGTGAAATAACGCTTACCTACATCGTGTGAGTGAGGTTTCCAAAGGTATAACCTGGGTGTCTTCAAGGCCCGAGTGAATAGGTTGCTTATGGGTAGACGTGCTCCATCGTAGGTCGCATCATCTGCCCATTACGAAATCAAAGAATTAAAAAAAAATCACCCAAGTCTCAACGCATTTGTAACTTCTCTGGTGTTGTGGGTGTCGATGAGCGGCGCCTATTGCTTACCATCAGCTCATCTGTATCATATTTTGCCAACCTATTCTATAAAACAAAACAATAGTATGTTACTCTGTGATATTCATCATAATTCTTGTGTATGTGAAATTGTACCTATGTTTGTAAACGCTCCCAGGATACAGGCGATAATGTTTTTTTAAAAGAGAAAAAGAAACTATCAATCTTCGACTACACGGTTGGTTCTTTGGGTTGGCAACTGGCTGCCCGGTACGTGACGCGGGTTCGATTCCCTCTCGGAACAACTCTGCGTGATCCACAAATTGTTGTTCCGTGTCAAAGTGTAATGTGTATGTGAATTAGTATGTTTGTACACGATACAGGAGAAAATCCTAGAGTGGGACAATCTTACTAATATTATAAATGCGAAAGTTACGATGTTTGTATGTTTGTTACTCAATCACGACAAAACGGCTGGACGGATCTGAATGCAATTTGGCACAGGCATAGGATATACTCTCTTTATGTCAACATAAGCCGCGGGAAGAAGCTAGTATAAAAATATATTTATTTCTCTTTCCAGGACTAGGCTATAAAGCGTACGAAATCGCCGACTTACACGGTCGAGACATACCGTCCTTACTCCGCATAAATGACCGAGCTTGGAACGCGAACGCTGACCAACTAGCAGAAATACCCGAATACGCTCCGACCCCAATAATCACCGAAACTGGAATAGACTACACTTACAAAGCCTACGACGAAAACTACGTTGAAAACATTCTCGGACCGGATCCCCCGAAAATAACGGATTTAACGATAAAAACATCGAAACCCTTCTTCGATGCAAGTCGGTTAAATAAAAATATTAATATAACGATCAATATAAAGACGGACGATTTGGCCAGATCGTTGAAATCTTGGGTGTCGAAAGGTGCCATAGCTCCTACATCGGATTTAATTAAAATCTTCCATCAAATTAAAAGTAACAAGATTAGTTATAGCAGGGATGATGATTAAGTCCCTTTTTTTGTAATTTGACAGTATTTGTAATATTATCTTTGATTGTACAAAAGAAAAGGTTTTTTATTAAAAAAGTAAAATAAAAAAATATGCCTGCCAAAAGTAAAAAACAAGTTGTCAAGAGGTTCTTCTTGAGAGACGATCTCCGGCCACAGTAAGCACGGGTCTGCGGACGGCGTGTAAGGGCAACTCGCCGCCCGACCAGAACCAGACCTGAGCGTACGGCGCGTAGCGTTCCGCGCGCGCCTCAAAGAGCCAATAGACCACCACAGACGGGGTCCTATAGAGCTGATGTTCAGCCGGGGTTGCGGAGTGAGCGCAATAATGCACCGCGACCTCGGCCCAGAGCAGGAGAAGGGACAGGGGGATTTTAGTCAGTTTAGAGTCTGACACTCTCTCTCACCTTACCATGTGCGGGAGAAGTCATTTAATGAATTTCCCCTCACAAAAAAAGGCTTTGAACAAACTCCCAGCTCTCCTACAATGAGTGTGACATAGCACCCTTCACTGTTTTTTGTATCAAAGATTAGAGTCCAACTCTGCTTCAGGTTCAACCTTAAAAGTCTTAAAGTTCGCACAATTTCTCCACAAAAACTATATTAAGGGCATCGCAGAAGGAGGTATTAAATCTCAAGGCTGGAATAAGCTGTCTATTGAATTTAAATCTGCCAATCATGCCAATAACGCAGATAGTGACATCCTTGCCGCTAACGACTATATCGCAAAGATTCCCCGTTTTCGGGTACTACTACTATTACTACTGACCTACTGGCTGGACTGAGGACTTAGTTTCTGGAATAGAAACTCCTCAAAATTGTCGAGCAGTCGTATGAGTTAGACGCCTTTTAAAATTGAAAAATAGAAAGGAAGACTCAGTCTCTTGGTCGCCCTCTTCCACTGTAGTTTTGACATTCTCTGGGCAAACTCTCCCAGAGAACGCCTCCCTTCAAGTGTCTGTCTACCTTCCTATAATCCAGTGCCGCAACTGCCTACGCTTTGGTCATATCCGCAGCCAATGCCGATCCAAACCTTTCTGCTTTAAATGCAGCCAAATACACCCTGGTGACACATGCAATATCCGGAATGTCCCTGACTCTCAGGTGACATCTATCCTATGCGAAAGTGTTAACCATAAGGCTACAGATGATCTCCCTCCTGAACTCTCCAGACAGAAACCTATTGAAATGGTTATGCCTGAAGAATATCTTAACCTATAGCAAGGTTTCAACAACAACATCCCACAAACCCAAATATCCCACGCTTCTGATAATTTATAGAATCAGGCGTTGTATGTGTGCATATGCATGTGGGCGGGAGGGTGGGACCCTTGCTGCATGTGCATATGTAACAAGCCTGGATTTTTTGTCGCGAAATTAAAACTAAATATTTTCCCTAACATTTAATCCCAAGCTTCTGTTGACTTTTCCCAACTATTTACAGCTCTTCCTTCAACTCCTTCCTCTCCATTTACTTTCCCTCCAAAACGTCTTATACCAAGACGGTATTCCGTTCCTCTAGACCTAGACCCGCACTGGGCAAGTATTACGACGTCCAAGCTCATAGGGTGATGAGCTGATGTCTACCCCCAACTCCTCTCAGCCCAACAGCTGTACACTTAAAGACTCCTCATTCCCGGAAACAACTCTTCTACCTACCCCTAATAACTAAAATATTGTGACGCTCTACCGAACAATGTCGTAATTCTTATCGACCAACTGTTCCAATCCTGGACCCGAAAGAATGGCGAAGATCCTTCAATGGTATAGTAGAAGTATTCGTCAACAAAACACGACCAATTGCGTCTAATAAACCGCTACACTACTGCAATGCTATTCTGTAAATGGTATAATCTCATCTCGAAAGTCACACACCACTTTGCTTCTCATCTCACCTGTACACAAACGTCAAAATACTCACTGGTTTTACTTCCTTTCACTTCGTTATCCACATGGCGGCGCCAATGTAGATTTCACTCCATTTGTGAATACGAAACTTTAAATAAACATAATTTTACCAGATTCAGAAGTGATTTCGTAAATTAATTGAGAATAGCATAGCTGTTCTCTTTGTGTTGTTGGAGACATGGCTCAGACCTGGATCCCTCTTCAGAGTCCCTGGGTTCTCGGGCCTCCGAGACGATAGAGACGATGGGCGGGCTGGATGCGCCTTGCTGATCAGTATGTCTATCACTTTTTTCCAAAATCCCATTCCTCGTCAGACTTCCGGACTACACATTGTTGCCATCAGAGTCATGGATATTTCCTTTATTCCTGCTTACATCCCTCACCCCCCAATGCCAACCTTCTTTCAGAATTTAACTGCATCCTTTCCTCTTATCCCTAACTCTCTGGTGGTGTGTGGCGATTTTAATAATAATTGCCGCCACACGCTGTGTGGTTCTCACAGCAACGACCCCTCATCCAGCTTTTACCTGATCTTTTAGAAGACCTAAATCTCTGTGTCCTCAATGACGGATCTGCAATACGTAGGGTTTCCTAAAATTGTTGGAGCGAAGAGGCTAGGAAACATATTGTCAGTCGAGTTCATGTCGCATCAAGACGATAATAGTTTTTTAGAGAATTGTGTGGTTGCGCAAAACTGCAAATAATTAATGCCACAATTCAACATTAAAAGTATTGGCATTATGAGGAAGGTCCTCTTCGAATGGACCAAAGAAGAAATTATCAGTATTATCAGGGCTCCCGCTAGATCTGGGATTGTGATCAAAGCAAGGTGGATAAATAGGAAGGTGACAGAATGAAGGCCTACCCAGACCGTAGTCCTTACGATTGCCTCATTACTATTAGCCTATATTACTATTACTATAGCCCACTGCTGAGCAAAGGCAGCTTCTCACACTGAGAAGCGCCACGCTTGCTCAAGGCGGATTGGCGATTTCAAACTTATAATTAAAAATTATAAGTCCAGGTTTCCTCACGATGATTTTATTCACCGTCAGTGGTGTCTAAATAATCCTAGAAAGTACATAGAACTCGGAAAAAGCCGCACTGGTAGGTACTTGCCAGGTTTCGAACTTGCTCACTCATGCATGAGAAACGGGCGCCTTAAGTTTCGGGCCACCACGACATACACTTCACAGTGATGGCCAAATAATACCTACCAAAAACAGTGTTTTGATTCTATTCAGCTCTTCCGGTAGAACAGTGTCACAACTGTTGTCGCTTTGGGCTTACTCGCGCACTTTGTCTCTTATCATCCCGGTAATGGATGCAAATTATCTAATGAATTTGCCCACTGCTTTTATCCGAAACTGGGCCACTAGAAAAGCACCAAAATTTTAATGAAAATTCCATACCATATGCGGAATTACTAAGCCAAATTTGCCTGCCTTTAAAAGGTCCTATGCCGAGGTGTCTACGTCAATTAACTACTCTAAAACATCACCAATTATCTCCTCAGCAAAGAGGATCCTATAAAAAAACTGTGCTGCATATATGCTCCTCTCCCCGAGTTATGATAAGAAGGTCCATCAGATCCTTATTCTCAATTACTCCTTTTCCCCCATCCAAAAATGGCTGCGCTTTCCCTGTGCAATCCAGAACCAACACCATAGCCTTAACAACATACTGAATGTAATTTCCAACATGTTGATGGCAGCGTTATCAAACCCTGCCCAAGTTTTACTTGATCACATACATATATAAAATTCCTTCCTCTAACACTACTTCAGTGGAACGTGAGGAGCATTCTTCCCTGAAGAGTCTTAGTTAAATGGAGAAGTCACTTCTCCATTTAACTAACAAATTTAAATCAAAGATTTATGGCACTGCTGAGACATGACTGCAACCGAATATAATGCGGTTTTGCGAAAATCATTTGTTTCATCGAGTAGGGAATGTAATATTAAATCAACTTCAAAAACTAAGATTTTGTAAGTCAGAATCTTCTTGACCTTATCAGCGTTAGTTATATCACTCGGCGGATTACAAAAATTATGCTTATAAATAATTTGAGCCAACCTTGGCTACACTAAACCAGAGTGATACCACGACCTCATAGTAAATCGGCGTGACACAACCACAGCGTTGTGTTTCGCCGTGTGAGTGTATGTAACCTCTCCCATTCCGATATCAAATTTCCAAATCCTTGAAATCTTTCCCCCACCAACAACTACGCTGACTTCAATCAGGTGAATCGTCTTCTCATTTACTGCCGTATTTATGTGAAGTAGGTAAGTATTCTAACTTTAGTGTTAAGTTGTAAATACAAGATATCTAATCTTTATTCGCATTATTGTAGTTAGAATATTTTGACAAATCAGTTGTAAAAATAAAGTAATTCATTGTTTGAATAAATTGTCTTTTTCTTTTTAACTTCTACTATGCACTACACCTTCCTTTACCTACTTAAGATAAAAGCAGCAGAGGCGCGCTCACGTCCATAAGGCTATCAGCAGAGCAGTTCATTTTAGATCGTCATTGAATCGTAATAATAGTTTAAGGTAAGCTTACAAACCAAAAGGCCCAGAAAGTCGTCTTTCTCTGCGAAGCAGTCATGCTCGGAAAGGCGGATCGGTTGAGGGAACCATGACACCCAGTCCATCGGAACTTAGTGACTTAGGGCGGCTTGACCTTTTGGCAGCGGTACTACCGATTACTACCGAACCGATACATACTGAAGGTCGTATGTATCGGGTCGGTAGTAATCGGTAGTACCACAACCTTCAAGAAACGAGCATACTTCTTCTTAAAACGCCGGCAACGCGCCTGTGACTTCTCTAGTACCGCAGGTATCCATGGGTGGCGCTGATCACTTACCATCAGGCGATACGTCAGCTCGTTTGACTCCTATTCCATAAAAATGGCACGATGAATAGCGCCACCTGATCGGTATTATAGGAAACCAAATAAGTTACCCTAAGGTTGGTAAATGGTACCTCGGACCCTCCAAGGTGAGATTGTCCACGTGACACTCCAACAGTTGTATGTTGGGATTTTCTTTCCGTGATATTTCACGCGTCGTGGTAGCCTGAATGATAACTATCATAGTGGCCTACAG